TTCCTAGACCTGGATGTCTGTTTCCTTCCCCTAGGTTGGGTTAGGGAAGTTTTCAGCTATTATTTCTTCAAATATGTTTTCTGCCCCCTTCTTTCCTCTCCGTCTGGGATATCTATAATGCAGATGCGTGTTTGGTGTTGTCCCACGTGTTCCTGAGCCAATCCTTTTTTTTTTTTTTTCTTTTTTTACTCTTCAGCTTGGGTGCTTTCCATCTGTCTTGCAGATTGCTGGTCCATTCTTCTGCATTTTCTAATCCACTGTTGATTCTTTCTTGTGTATTTTTCCTTCCAGTTAATTGTGTTCTTCAACTCTTATTGTTTCTTTTTTATAAATCTGTCTTTAATGTTTACTTTGAGAGAGAGAGAAAGAGAACAAGTTGGGGAGGGGCAGAGGGAGAGCGAGAATCCCAAGCAGACTCCACACGGTCAGCACAGAGCCTGACGTGGGGCTCAAAGTCATGAACCATGAGATTGTGACTGGAGCCAACATCAAGAGTCAGATGCTTAACCAACTGAGCCACCCAGGTGCCCCTCTTTTTTATAATCTCTGTTTCTTTGTTGAAGTTCTGAGTTTATCCACTCTTAAGTCTGGTGAGCATTTTTATGACCATTACTTTAGTTCAAGAGTAGATTGCATACTTTCATTTCATTTCATTCTTTTTCTAAAGTTCTGTCTTATTTGTTTTGGGCATATTCCTTCGTTTCCCCATTTTGTTTGACTTTCTGTGTGGTAGGCAGAACAGCTACCTCTCCTAGTCTTAAAGGAGGGGCCTTGTGTAGTACTGTCCCCTGTGTAGACTGCCTGGTGCCTTTGGCTGGAGCTGTAGCAGGCATGCACTGGGGATCCTGGGGCACTCCAGTGGAGCCTGGTGCTGAGGGGTGCATGGGCCAGGGGGTCCCAGGGCACTCCATAAGCAGGGGAGTCCTACTTAGCTGGAGAAGTGGGTGCAGGCTAGGGGATCCCCGGATATTCTGCATAGTGGAGCCCCTGGTGGGACGGCTGGAGCTTAAGGCCACAGCTGGCTACAGGCTAGGAGGTCCTGAGGTGCTCTACATGGGGTGGAGGGCCTAGTGGGATAGCTGAAGCGAGCACAGACTGGGGGGGTTCCTTGGGTGCACTTGGCCCCAGGTGCTCTGGCAGGCCGCGTAGAGCTGAAGCAAGTGTGGGCCTGGGGTTTCCCGGAGTGCTTTGCACGCATGCTGTGTCAGCAAGACAGCTGGAGCTGAAGCAGGCACTCTCCAGGGTGTCCCAGTGTGTGCTGCGCCGGGCCCACCTCGGGAGGATGCGTGGGCTGAGGAGAGCTAGGGACCTGGGACCCCCCAAGGCATCAGGCCAGGTAGAGTATACCATCTGTACTATCTGTACCGTCTGTACTGTCAAGGCGGAGGGGACCGTCAGTGGTGGTCCTCACCAGTGCCTCCACCCCAGGGAACATTCCAGCAGCTCCCCCAGCACCTGGCAGATGCTCACCCACAATCCAGTTGCCCTTTTAAACTGCAGCTCTTTCCACCGTGCTGCAGGGCAGGCGAATCTGCACACGGACAGAGTCAGGGGTGAGTTCCCATCGTAACCGTGTCACCATCTCTCCTACCCTTCTCGGGGGGGGGGGGTCCCTCTGTTGTTTGTTGTGCAGAAACTGTTCAGCAAGCCCTCAGTTCTTAGGAGGAATCACCATACATGGAGGTGGTGAGTTCAGTCTTCCTACATCACCATCTTAGACCCTCCCCTTGGCTTTTCCTTGTTGATTATTCCGTGTATAGTCTAAATATTAGTCCCTTATTGGTACATATGGTAGATATCTCCTCCAGTCTCCCATCTAGTGTCTTTAGGTCTCAGGCCTAAGATCTGACTTTTGATCTCAGGGTTGTGAGTTTGAGCCCCATGCTGGGGGTAGTTTACTTTAAAAAATAAAAATAAATAACAAAAATGTTATTTGAAGTTAAAAATTAGTCACAGTTTTTACATTATGGTTTGTAGTTTGGGGGTTTTAAGAAGCCCTTTCGAGGCGCCTGGGCGGCTCAGTCTGCTAAGCATCCACCCCTTGGTTTCAGCTCAGGTCATGATCTCATGGTTTGTGGGTTCCAGCCCCACATCGGGCTCTGCAGTGCCTGTGGGAGCCTGCGTGGGATTCTCCCTCTGCCGCTCCCTTGCTCTCTCAAAAAAAAAAACAACAACCCAACAACAACAAAACAAAACAAAAAACAAACTTTTAAAAAGCCCTTTCTCAAGCCTAGGTGTCAAAGACATTTCAAAGACATTCCGCACTAGTTTTATAAACCTGACACATTTAGGTTTTTAAGGTATTGGTGGAGTTAACGTTTTGTACGTGGCCTTATCTAGGGATGCGGGTTTGGTTTTCTCCATGTAGGAAGCCACATCAAAGCCAGTCCACTCTTTTCTCGTTGATATGTGGCACCACCCTGATCATATTTCAAGTTCCTGTATTAAACAGGAAGTGTCTCTGAGCTTTCTATTGTTTGTCTATTTGGTGTTTTCTTTAATATTTATTTTATTTTTGAGAGAGAGAGAGAGCACACACAAGCATGAGTGGGGGAAGGGCAGAGAGAAGACGACACAGAATCTGAAGCAGGCTCCAGGTTCTGAGCTGTCAGCACAGAGCCCGATGCGGGGCTCGAACTCTCGAACCGTGAGACTATGACCTGAGCCGAAGTCAGACACTTAACTGACTGAGCCACCCAGGCGCCCCTGATTGTCTGTTTGTTTGAATTACCTGATTACTACAGCTTTGCAGTATGGCTTACGTCTGCTCTGTTAGTTTGCTGTAATGAAGTACCACAAACTGAGTGGCTTCACAGAGACTCCCTGTCTCTGTCTGAAGGCCAGAAGTCTGAGGCTGGGCACTGGCACAGTTGCTTTCTACTAAGGGCTGTGAGGAGGACTGTAAGTATCCCTGTCCCCTAGCTGCTGGTGGTTGCTGGTGATCACTGGCGATAATCTTTTCAAAGAACCATGTTTTTTTTCTAATATTCTTTATTGTCTGTTGTTCCATGTTTCATTGATTTCCACCCTTCCTTTTATTATATTCTATTTTTTATTTAAAGTTTTCTCTTTTTGCAAGTTTATTAAGTTTATTATACATTATCATAAGTTTATTTTGAAACAGGGGCACCTGGGTTGCTAAGTTGGTTGAGCATCTGACGTTAGCTCAGGTCATGATCTCACGGTCTAGGAGTTCAATCCCTGCATCAGGCTCTGTGCTGATGGCTCAGAGCCTGGAGCCTGCTTCAGATTCTGTGTCTTCCTCTTCCTCTGCTCCTCCCCTGCTCACGCTGTGTCTCTCTCTCAAAAATAAATAAATGTTAAAAAAAAAAAAAAAGAGAGCAGATGTGAGCGGGGGAGGGGCAGAGAAAGAGAGAATCCAAGTAGGCTCTGCACTGTCAGCATAGAGCCTGATGAGGGGCTCAATCTTACGACTACGAGATCATGACCTGGGCCGAAATCAAAAGTCAGATGCTTAACTGACTGAGTTCACCTAGGTACTGCTTTATTATATTCTTTCTGATTTCTTTGTGTTTGCTTTGTAGTTTATTTTCAACTTCTGAAATGCATGCTTAGCCTCATCTGTTTTATATTTTTTCTTATTTCATAAAAAATTTTATTTGGGGGCAGCTAGCTGCCTCAGTCAGTAGAGCACATGACTTTTGATCTCAGGGTTGTGAGTTCGAGCCCCATGCTAGGGGCAATTTACTTTAAAAAATAAAAATAAGTAACAAAAATGTTATTCTAAGTTAAAAATCACCTACAAGTACTGGTTTAGCTGTGGCCCTCAAATTTTGACAAAAGTGTATCACCCTTATAAGAAGTACGTTTTTTCACAGCTCAGCCTCTCTAAAACCTACATGCATCTTACAGTCAATGGCACAATATGTTCCAAGTAGCTGTTTTTTCTTTCTTACTGGTGTATAAAATTAGGGTACATCTTCCACTCAGTGCATCTTCATTACCGTACATATTACATAGTGTTCTCACTGGCTTTTACCTCTAGGTATTTTAAGTATTTCTTTTTTTTTTTAAGTTTATTTATTTTTGAGAGAAAGCACAAGGAGGGGAGGGGCAGAGAAAGAGGGGGAGAGAGAGAGAGACTCCCCAGCAGGCTCCAGGCTGTCAGCGCAAAACCCAATGCGGGGCTCGAACTTATGAACTGCGAGATCAGGACCCGAGCCGAAATCAAGTATTGGATACTTAACCAACTGAGCTACCCGGGCGCCCCTACATCTCAGTATTTCTTGATTCCTCCTCTGGTTTTATTTTTAGCTCAACAGTTTTTTAGTAATATGCTATGTAGTTTAGTTTCCAAGCTATGAGGCATTTTTAGCCATTCTTTTGTTGTTAATGTCTAACTGTATTACATTAAGGTCCAAGAATACAGTCTGTGTATTATTTTCTTAGGAATTTATTAGGATTTCCTTCTGTCATCAGCCTTTCTGTATCCTTTTATTTTAAAAGTGTCTCTTGTGGACACACAGGAACATGGTGCTTTTTGCCTACCCCCCGCCTGGTCCCCCGCTACGTGCCCTGTTCAGAGCCTGGATTCAGAAGTCATGCAGTTGTGGGCATGAACCTGCTGTACCGCACATGCGCACTAGCCTCCCTCTGTGCTTAGGGAATCGGGGCTGACTGCCTGGCCACGAGAACCTGCAAGGGCCTGATGAACCCATGGGTGCGCTGGGCATATGGGAACAGCTCCGTAACGCTGTCAGACCCCACTCTGACGTTCTTTTTTTAAAAAGGAGCATGGACGTTTCGCAGAGGAAAACAAAATGCTCAGTACTTCCTTCTTGGCCTTTCTTTGTGGGGTTAAAAGCTGGGAGCCTCAGTCCAGTTTGTCTTCCAGGGCTGTGGGGAAGAGCAGCCATTAGTGAAGTGCTCTTAGGAGTGTTGTGAAAGTACAGAGTGAATAATCAAACCCTCTCTTCCCCCTGAGCGGGCACAGCGGTGAGGGAGAGGCAGAGTGTGACCCCTCGTCCTTGCCTTTGCAGAATGCAGAGAGCTGTTTACAGCAGAAAAACGAAGCCATCACATCTTTTGAAGAAAAAACCAACCAGGTTATGTCCAGCATGAAACAGATGGAAGAAAGGTAATCACTCCCTCTGGCACATACTCCCTAGAAGGTGCTGGACATTCCCCAGCCCCGAGGACTTACTCAGAGTCTCTCGCAAAAGTACAGACAACTTGGAATGAAAGTCCTTAGGAATCATAGCCTTGCTGAGCAAGGGGGCTGGATTCCCAGCCTTGCCTAAGTGTGTATCCTCTAATCAACCTCTGGGGGACTGTATCACCTTGTCTTCTCAGGGGTCAGGCCCATACAGTGAGCTCCTTGTTACTGTCACATTTAAACATCAGTCCGGGGGCGCCTGGGTGGCTCAGCCAGTTAAGCGTCTGACTTTGGCTCTGGTCATGATCTCACGGTTCGTGGGTTCGAGCCCCGCGTCGGGCTCTGTGCTGACAGCTCAGAGCCTGGGGCCTGCTTCGGATTCTGTGTCTCCCTCTCTCTCTGACCCTCCCCTGCTCATGCTGTCTCTCTCCCTCAGAAATACATTTTTAAAAATAAAAAAACTTAAAAAACGTTGTAAACATCAGTCCGAAGCAGATCAGAATAGAGCCCAAAAGCAGACCCACACGAATATGGCAACTGATTTTCTTAAAGGCAGTTCAAGGGAGGAAGGAAAATCTTCAATACTTGATACTGGGACAGTCTGACTTCCATAAGGGAAAAAAATGGATCTCAGTGTATGCCTCCTATCTTCTACAAAAATTAGCTGGAAATGGATCATAAGTCTAATTGGAAAACTTAAAACTTATAATTTCTAGAAGAAACCCTAGGAGAAAATCTTTGTGATCTTGGGTTAGGCAAAGAGATCTTAGACATGACATAAAAGCATGGGGTCCAGGGCACCTGGGTGGCTCGGTCAGTTGAGCGTCCAACTCTTAATTTCAGCTCAGGCCATAATCTCACAGTTCATGAGTTCGAGCCCCATGTTGGGCTCTGCACTGGCAGTGCAGAGCCTGCTTGGGATTCTGTCTCTCAAATAAATGAAAACTTAAAAAAAAAAAAATAATACTTTTAAAAAGCATGGTGTCCATGGGAGAAAAACTTGATAAATTGGACTTTATCAAAAGGTGAAACCTTTGTGCTATGGAAAACACAGTTAAGAGAATAAAAAGACCAGTAACAAATTGGGAGAAAAATTGCAAATCACGTTGTCTCCAGAATATACAAAAAACTCTCAGAACTCAACAAACAATCCAGTTGAAAAATGGACAAGACTTGAACGGACACCTCACCAAAGAGGACATTATGGATGGCAGACAAGCACACAAAAAGATGTGCAGTGTCACTAGCCATCAAGGAAGTACAAGTTTTGTTACGTTTTGTTTTATTTAGATATTCATTTTTGAGAGAGTGCAAGCAGGGGAGGGCAGAGAGAGGGGGACACAGGATCTGAAGTGGCCATTTGGGCTAACAGCAGTGAGTCTGATGTGGGGCTCTAACTCATGAACCTCAAGATCAGGACCTGAGCCAAATTCAGACATTGAACCGACTGAGCCACCCAGGCAGCCCCAGAGAAGTATAGTGAGATGCTATTACACGCCTATTAAAACAGCTGAATATCTTTTTAATGACAACACTGAATGCTGACGGGGCTACAGAGCAACTAAAACTCTCCTACATGACTGGTGTCACACTGGAAAACAGTGTCTTACAGCTAACCCTACTCTTACCATCTGACCCAACAGTCCCACTCCTGGGTATCTGCTGAAGAGGAATGAAAACTAATGTTCGCACAGAAACCCATACACAAATGTTTGTAGCGGGTCTGTTCCTAATTTCTAATAGAAGCGAGTCAGAGGTGTTTCATCAGGTGAAAGAGGAACAAACTGGTACTCTATACAATGAAATAGTACTCGGCCCACAGGAAGGAATGAGCCCCTGATCCCCAAACTTGATCTCAGAGATAACTAACCTGAGAGAAAGAAGCCAGGCTCAGAAGGTTATTTACATGAAGTGTAATTCCACTTATACACATTCTGGAAAAGACAAAGCCATGGTATCAGCCGATCAGGGGGTTGCCAGGGGTCAGGGATGGGAAGGGGTGTGACTGCAGCACTATGGAGACTTCCAGGGTGAAGCAACTGCTCTGTCTCCTGATCGCCATGGTGGTTCCACGAGTCATCCGTGTGCTAAAAAACTCTGGGAACTGGACACACGTGCGAGTCGATCTTACTATGTTTGTATTTACAACCCAAGCCACAAGAACGTGAAAACACGATACCTTCCGTGGCAACGGTGGCTCCTTTCCTTACGCGGATGTGCTTGGTTCGGTGCAGGTTACGGCTGTCCGAAAGGGCCAGGCAGGGGGCCGAGGAGCGGAGCCACCAGCTGCAGCAGGAGCTGGGCGGCCGGACGTGCGCTTTGCAGCAGCAGCTCTCGCAGCTGCAAGAGCAGTGGTAGGCGGCGGGCCGGGGGCGGGGCCGGGCGCGGGGGCGGGGCGTGTCCGGCTTGGGCGTTTACCCCTCATCTCCTGCGAGGCTGGGATGAGGGTATAAGCCTGTGGGTAAAGCCCAGGGATGATTGAGAGATTTCTTTGTTTCACAAATAGAGAACTGGTTCAGGGGTTCGGGAATGTCCCAGGGCCACTCGGCTGGTGGGGAGCGGGGGCCAGTAACTTTCTGCCGCCCCCACCCCCACTGTCCTCTGATGGGAGCTGGCTCTGAGTTGGGAAAAGCAGAACTCGTGTTGCAACCCCCACCCCCCACCCCCCACCCCCGATCTCGCCTCAGTAGGGGATCCCACAAGTGCGGGCCTAAGTGTCTCAGGGCCCTTTTCCTTTCTCTCCGCTCACATGCAGTCAAGTGTGTGCCCACCCTTCTCCCCCCTCGAGGGGTCCCGGCGTCCCCGGTGGAGGGGCAGGCAGTCCTGTTCCTGTGACCGGTTTAGAAGCGCATGTGGCGATGCCGAGTCCAATTCCTCGTTCCGTATGGTGAATTGGGTTGGAGATTGTGCAGTTTCTGTCCAAATCTCCCACTGAGACTAACTCCAGTTCATTTTGGGGAAACAGCTCAAGTCTAGAGAAAGAGCTGAAATCCGAAAAAGAGCAAAGACAGGCTCTTCAACGAGAATTACAGCAGGAGAAAGACACTTCCTCTCTGCTCAGAGCAGAGCTACAGCAAGTGGAAGGATTGAAAAAGGTAAGGCAGGGGTGCCTGGGTGACTCAGTCAGTTGAGCATTGGACTCTTGATCTCAGCTCAAGCCATGATCTCGCAGTTCCTGAGTTTGAGCCCCTCATCGTGCTCTGCGCTGTTAGCATGGGATTCTCTCTCTTCTTCTCTCTGCCTCTCCCCTGCTCGCTTGCTCTCTAAGCAAATAAACGTAAAAAAGAAAGGTAAGGCAGCCGTCCTTGAGAGAAAAAGCTACTAACTAGTGTCTCCAGAAACTGCGGCCACAGAGGCTCCCAGCACAGCCAGAGCCACACCTTTGAGCCGCTGCTCTGAGTGGCCAGTGCGCACACCCACGCTCAGGGATGAGTGCTGTGAACAGAACCTTCCCCACCGTGGGCAGGGTGGGCCAGAAAGTGACCGTGAGGCAGATCTGAATGACAAGCGAGGGACGGCTATGCAGAGACCCAAGCGAAGAACCTCAGGCTGGAAGTGTGAGGGTCTGTCATGGTCATGGAGCAGGAAGAAGGGCCATGAGGCTGAGGCATGGCGAGCAGAAGATGGAAGCATTAGAGCTGAGGCCTTGGGTCGGCAGACCGATAGCGGGCTCCCAGAGCTGCGTGAAGGGATTTAGATCTTATCCTGAGCAAGGTAGGAAGCTGTGGGGGGAAGGGAGGGGTAGCAGGGATGGTACATGGTCCATTTTATCATAAGACTGTCAGCGGCTACTTCGTGAGAATGGGTTGCAGGCTTGCAAGAGAGGAAACAGTAAACGTGAACATCTTCCGCCAAGTGACAATCCACACCTTCACCCCAGAGGGGCCGAGCCCTTCTGCCAGGATCAGGTACCCTGGTTCCCCAGAACTGTGTGGGCCTGGCCCCTCCCCCCAGGAAGCCAACTGAACCAGAACCCCAATGTCTCCCCTTGACAAGACATGTGTCCAGTCCTTGCCTGGAGTCCCCTCGGTGCTCTGGTGAAGGCGAGGCCTGGATCCTCTGGAAAGCATCAGGGAGAGTAATGTTGGGGTGCCAGAATGGCCTCTCTGGGTTCCCCAGCAACTCAGATGGGCAGAGCCTTGTTTGCCCTGGGAGGGGGAGTGTTTGAACGGAGCTGTTTCCTGCCTCACGTCGATGTCCCCATCGCAGGGCCACCCCAGTAGCTCTCACCTTGCAGTCGCCCGATCTGGAGAAACAGGCTGGTGAGAAGTAATCCACGAAGTAACTCCATCTGGAGTGTGGCTCATAGAACAAAACTGATTTTTTGCTCTTGAAAAGCATCATGTCCTGCTTATTGCTGTGATCACTAAACCTTAAAAGAAAAAAAAAATGTCCACGTGTCAGGTGTCTGGTTGATTCGTTTTAGGAGCTGCGGGAGCTCCAGGAGGAGAAGGCAGAGTTGCAGAAGGTTTGCAACGAGCAGGAACAAGCCCTCCAGGAAATGGGACTGCACCTCAGCCAGTAAGACCCCTGTCCCCCTCACCTGCCCCCTGCGCTGCCCCCTGGAGTCACCCAGCCTGCCCACCGTGCCCTGAACCGGTCGTGTTGTTGCGGGAGGGAGGCCTGCCAGGTGGAGGTGAGGCCTCAGGGATGCAGCGCGGATTTAACAAGTCTGTGAAGAAATCTGTCTACTGGGCCGCCTGTCCCTGGTCCCAGGTGGACCAGATCGCGGGGGCGCGGGGGGGGGGGGGGGGCGGGGGGCACGTGCTGGGCCGCAGTCAGACCAGAGCAGGCACTGTGGTGTGAAGGCTCCAGCCTGCCCTGGCCAAAGTGCAGTCACCTCCAGCCTTTCTGGATACTCGCACCCACCAGTCTGTCTCCGCCCTGCTGGCTGCTGTAGGAGTCCAGCACGGGCGCTTCTGTCTGTCCTGTGACTGGACAGCTCTCCTTCCCGGTGTCCCAGTCCTGCCAGGTTGCTCTGGGCAGTCTGTTAGGTCACACTGCCGAGATCAGAATTTGTCCACTTGTGCAATTATTGTGTTTTCTTTTTTAATCTTTATTTTTTGAAAGGGAGAGCATGAGCTGGGGAGGGACAGAGAGAGGGAGACAGAACCAGAAGCAGGCTCCAGGCTCTGAGCGGTCAGCACAGAGCCTGATGCAGGGCTGGAACCCATAACCCATGAGATCATGACCTGAGCCAAAGTGGAATGCTTAACCACACTGAGCCCCCCAGGCGCCCCTGTTATTGCATTTCAAAGCCCCTGGGGAGTTCTTCGCCTTCTGAGTCAGGACTCATGGCTGCAGAGGGACAGAATCCAACTCAAGCTGTCTGATGCAGAAAAAGCCGTCAGGACTCCCTCCTACCTCTGCTGTCCTGACTGTTGCTTCCCCCCCCCACCCCCACCCCTCGAGTCCTCTTCTGGTGCCTGTCACAAGCACGGTGACCAGAAAGAGAAGGGCTCTCATGGCCGGCACAGCCTCGGCTCGGGCTCTGCACTGAATCCAACCCTGACCGGAAAAGGCCCAGAGATGGGGACAACCAGGAGAAGAAACTAGAAACACTGAAGCGGCACACACTGAACAGGATGTCCCTCAGTTGGGCTGTGCAGGGGTTGCTGTGTCAGGACATGTGACACTGGCAGGGATTTCCCAGGAGCTCCTTTGTGCTCCCTCTCTCCCCCCCACCTTCATGTCACCCACACCAGGTGACCGAGAAGGTTCTCCTCAGATCCCTCCACCAGCCAGACACAGCTGCCTGGTTTCTTTATGTCGCCAGAGTCTGGATCCTTCCCAAACCGTATTTCCCGGGCAAGCACTGGCACAGTCAGGACGCCCTCCTCACCCGCTGTCCCCAGGTCTCCCCACCGCCCCCACCCTGGGCAGCTGCCGGTCAGTCTGCAGGCCTGCTCCTGAGCTGCTCAGGGCGGGAGGGCACAGCTTTTTCTAAAGGCCCTGATGCTCAGTTTCCTAATCCTCCCCCAGAAGACTAGCTCGTGTCTCCGGGCCTGACCACTTTGACACTTGGTTAGGCTAATCCAGTGACAGTTTAGGCTAATCTCTGCTTTTAAGGGCTCAGACCATCCCCCCTGCCACGCCCACCCACAATTACAACTTCTTCCGTTTTCATTTTATCTGGGTTAATCCTGCCGGTTTAGACTGTGTTCAGTCCTGTTGTTTATGTGGACAACTAAGGAATTGGTCTTACTCTAATAAGAATGGAGCAAGGGCAAATGACCATGTCTCTGAGCAGAACTGTTCTAGAAGGAACAGGCGGCGGAAAAGGGGCCTGGAGAGCTCTGCAGATTCTGGTTCCTGCGGTGGGGGGACCCCACACCCCCCACTCCAGCACATGCCACACGCAGGAGTGGTTGCCCAGAGAAGCCAGGAACCTGGACTTCTGGGACATTATCCTCAATCTTTATCATTTTTCAAGTTTATTTCTTTTGAGAGACAGTGCAAGTCGGGGAAGGGCTGACAGAGGAGAGAGAGAATCCAAGCCTCATGTGGGGCACAAACTCATGAAGCTGTGAGATCATGACCCAAGCCAAAACCAAGAGTCAGATGTTTACTGACTGAGCCACCCAGGCGCCCATGTCCTCAATCATTAAATAACTGCAGCTATTTCAGTCTTTTGAAACCTTGCAGGCTCAACAGTCTGTTCTTTGGCCACATTCAGTCCACAGGCTCAGCCTCAGTGTGGTAGACATGAGCCAACATGAAGAGGTGGTTCTGGGATGATGAAAAGGTAGAAAGTGTTCTGGAATGACTCGTGTTATGGGACAGCTCTCTCTATAAGCCCTGTCTCCCGAAGCCAGACAGTTGCTGTTGAGAGCCTCTCACTGCTTCTAAATGATTTTTTTTTTTTTTTTGCCTTTTTTTCTTAAGGTCAAAGCTGAAGATGGAAGACATCAAAGAAGTAAATAAGGCACTGAAGGTACTGGATTGTTGATGTTATTAGCATAAGAATCACTGCCCTAGAGCGGCTCTTGGTGGGCTCTTGGTCAGCTCACTGGAATGCCCCCGTGCACTCTTGGGTTTTGTCACATGTCAGGGGAGTGTGTGTGGCTCAGGCTTCTGTGGCGCTCGGAGCCAGGTGACGTGGTGGGAGGTGATGCTGTCCGGCGGCGGGGCCCGGCTCCCAGCTCCCCGGCTGTTGGCTGTAGTTCCGCCCCAAGCCTGCCACACAGGTGCCCAAATGAACAAGCGCAAAGTGGCAGAAAAGAGACCCGGGGATTGTTGAGTAAGGAGCGTGAGACCTCTCCCTGCAAGTGAGGGGCCGGAGGCCACCCTGCTATTTCTGGGGACCATTCAAGCCGTGAGCTGGGCCGCGTTTCTGGACCACCTCAGGGAGGGCAGGATGAGGCACCCACCTACGGAGAGTGGGAAAGTGGGGACCAGGTGACCTGGCACAGGCGCCAGGCTGGCCCACCAGGGTTGGGACAGGGAGCATTCAGAGCAGAATGGACCGCCCACGGGCAGGAGCATCCGGCCTCTCCTGGATGGAGACCCTAGTGCATGCACACTGGGCGGAGGCAGACTCAGCAGCCCGGACTCACACTTAACGTCACGCACCTTCCCTGCCCTTGCAGGTGGGCAACACCTTGGATGGGGTCGCCGTGAGCTGCCTGTCTTCTCTGTCCCTGAAAAACTGCCCAGAAGTGTCCAACAGTGGCAGCTAGCAACACCCGAGGGAGGAGCTGTTGGGCGCAGGGCTGCAGCTCCTAGGGTCACTCTGTCACCAAGAAAGTGACCTCCACCAGAGGCTAAGGAGCCAGAAATGATTCTCAGGCCTTCAGCCCCTTTGAAAACTCAGTCCCTGCGACTGAATAAATTACACCTCCTTGTCGTCCTTTTCCTTTAGAAAGACAGCTTTCAGAGCATCTGCTGCTGTCTTGGCAGATTGGAGACTCCTGCCTCCCCGCCTTGCTCTGAGGGTCAGGGGCTCAGCCTGTGGAGAAGGGCCCATCTCAACAGGGACCGCTGTCGCAGGCCTGGTCTAGCTGGCCAGGCTAGCCCCTCCCCCTCCCACCAGTTCAGCGTGGGGTGGGGGGGGTGGGGACTGTGGAGACCGGCTCAGCCAGGCTCGGTTTGCAGGCATCAGATGCTGACTTGCATTACCTCCGCCGAAGGGCATTTATTGAAAGGGGGGAGGGGGGAGTCTCCAGTTCCCGGGACGCTGGGGAATCAGACTGGAGGCCGGGGTTGGGGGGGCGGGGTGGAACTGCAGGGGCTGGGAAGCCAGGGCCAGAGGACAGCACATGGGCCGCGGTCAGAGCAGGGAGGCCCTAGGAGGCCCCGTCTGGTGTCCCTCCAAAGGTGCTATGAGAGAGGCGGCCGGCCGCTGATGCTGCGCCATCCGAGGTCCGTCAGGAGCCAGGCGGTAACCTGGGATTCTGCACTCTCTCCTGCCCAGGGCCACACGTGGCTGAAAGACGACGAAGCGACGCACTGTAAGCAGTGTGAGAAGGAGTTCTCCATTTCCCGAAGAAAGGTACGTGGGGCTCCCCTCCCACCCTTCCCGTGGCACTGGGCCCCGCACTGTGATCACACTTGCTGGTCTGCTGGCGCGTGCAGGTGGCTTCCCCGCTTGTGCACAGGGCTAGTGTAGGTGCACGGATCACTGTAAGTTCGCTTTAAGCAACAGGACCAACATCTGGCTAAGGGAGGCCAAAACTCTCTAGAGAACCTGTGGGCAGCAAGCCTCAGGACAGGCACCCAGGTGGCACCAAAAGCGCACTGGCATCTGGGCGGGGCCGGTGCCCTGGTACGTCTGTCTCTGCCAGTGTGTAGCCTGCCCTCAGGTTCCAGGAACCTGGAACACAAGGTCCTGTACCTTTAGTCCACCGCTGACAGGGCTTTGGGTGACCAATTTCCAAGCCAAACTGGAAACCCCCACGCCCAGCAGTAGCCCGCCCCCCACTATGCAGGTGCGCGTGCCCGTCATCCCTGCTAACGGCCTCTGTGGACAAAACTCCCAAACCCACTGCCCTGTGGCAAAACAGCCATCCAAGGCTGCTGTTGAGATCCTGCTTTTCCACAAGGCCTGCTGGGGCCTCTGTGTCCCCACCCGTGAATGGCCTGGCCGAGGTCCATTGTCCGGGCCGATGTGGGAGGGCTCCTGGCAGAAGCGACATGGATCCTAGTCTCGGCGTCGTGCCCAAGGTTTAGGCAGCTCCTCACAAAGTAAGACGCCCATCAGGAGGGGCTGGCTGGCTAAAGAATCCTGGAGGCCCGCCCCGGAGCGCAGGGACCGCAGGGACTGAGCCCAAGCTCCCAGCCCCTGGAAGCACGTTCTGAAGGAAGAGGGTGATGCCCGCGCGTGCCCCCTCCACCATTCTGTGGCCCGCAACGACACAGGACCGCAGAAACGAAGGTCTGCAAAGACCCCTTCCAAACGGACGCCTGCATCCGGGGGAGGGATCGTAACGCCTCAGGCAGACTTGCACAGGCTGTGAGAACAGAGCGGGTGTAGGGACGGGGGAGCACAGCAGGCATGCCACCCCTGACGGCCTCTCTGTCCTGCAGCACCACTGCCGCAACTGCGGCCACATCTTCTGCAACACGTGCTCCAGCAACGAGCTGGCGCTGCCCTCCTACCCCAAGCCCGTGCGTGTGTGCGACAGCTGCCACACGCTGCTCCTGCAGCGCTGCTCCTCATCCACCGGCTCCTAGGCCCGCGGGCGTCGCAACACAGCCTCGGAACAGTGCCAAACTCTGTGTGGGTCTCGGGGGGATGCCCAGGAGCTTGGGGAAGCTGGTTTCCCAGGAGCATCTGGAAGGGACGCGATCCTGGTGGGCTGTACACCCAGCATGGCAGCCTGGAAGGTACACGCCTCCTTCCCAGACTGTGTGGAGTTAACCGTCTGTCTGCTAACCTGTCTGGGTTGAAACGCTTCCTTACCACTCAGCTACGTCACTGGCTTTGGCTCCGATGTAACTTCATGATTTTGCTACTGTCATTTTTCACTTCTCAAAAATTGCCTAGTTTTACGGCAGTTGTACTAGTGTAGTGAGCGACCGGTAGTGTGCCCCCTCACTGTGCCTTCCCACCTCAGAGGCCAGAGGTCTGCCACATCACACCCTTGTGAGTATGTGTCTTTGGACCTGCAATAAAATCGTTTATTTTTCACTCCGGTGCAGAGAGCGTAGGTACTGTGTCCGTGTCACCGGGATTGGGGGCGGCCTCGGGGCAGGGACTAAAGGCCCTCAAGGAGGGCAGCTGCCTTTGAGGTGAGCCTGCCGGGTTCCCGTACAGACTGTGCCCAGGCCGTGAGCTGACAACGAGAAGGGCCATTGAGTCCAACAGGCCTGGAGGCAGTGACCTCACACCCCTCACCGAAGCTCAGAAGCTCGTCCTGTATGCAAGTGGACTGCAGAGGAAGATGCCTGTGGGAGGCCCCTGCCAGGTAGTCCTTACTGAATTTCAAGAGTAGGGCTGGGATGGCTGCACTCAGCTGTGGCAATGGGCTCAGCACATGCTCACCCCGCCCCCGCCCAAGTGCTGTAATGCTGTCCGGCCGAGCCTCCGCCTTCTCTCCCACCCCTCCAGAGACTCCCTGTGCTCCCTGCGCTCCCTGCCCAGTCCCGCCTGCTCAGCTCAAGGCCCTGGCTCTCCTCCTTCCTGGGCTCTTACCCTACAGAAGGTTCCCCACAGCCTGGCTCAGAGTCCACACGTGCTGCTCCCTTAAACACAACTGTGGGGTCAGGGGGACAGAGTGAGGTAGAAACCTGGGTGGCTCTGTGAGGTAGGGGCCTATCAGGAAGTAGATGGCAGTGGAAGCAGCGGCCAAGGGGACACCTCCCCTTCCTTCTCTCATTTCATCTGAGCAGCTTTCTAAATCTCCAGCACCCAGAGGTTTCTGAAGTGCTTCTATCCTGAACCACACCCCACACTGATCTGGCAGTAGAGCGGCACCCGGTTTTCAGTGCACCCAATTTGGACTCCAGCTCGCTGGGGAGCCTTGGGTTTGTCACCTCACTTCCAGGCTCTCACGTGCCCACACAGAGAAGGAAGAATTCCAGACTCCTGTTTTGACCACTAAGTAGGAATGTTTCCCACCACTGTGCAGCTCTCTGCTCTTTCCTTCACACCAACTTTCTATTCCCAACCTCCCTCTCCCCGCCCAGAAACAACAGACACTCAGGTGTTACTCACAATAGATCCTCGCGCCAAGTTGCAGTGAGGCAGAACTTTCCTACCCACCTCATCAAATATGAACTCCAGAATCCTCAGGCTGTGGTAGGGTGACCTTCTTGACCCGGGCAAAGAGGGACAGTAGTCTTAAGGCAATTCTTCTCAAGCTTAAGTGCACAGGTCAGGTAGCCAGGGATGGGGGCGCACCTCCGGACAGCACCTGGAGGTTCTGCTCTAACAAGCACCTGGGTGGTGCAGGTCGATGGAGCACAAGGTTCCAACGAGCCAGAATGGTTCAAGACTCCCTTTTCACAAGGCAGACTGTTCTGGATTAGCTTAGCCTTACTCCAGGAAGGGGAAGGGGCCTTTTCTCAACAAAGAGGTTCCTGTGTATAAAACAAGTGAACTGAAAAGCCAGATAAGGAACCCACCCCCCGCCCCCCCCCCCCCAGCCTTCTCAATAACAAAAATAAGATCAAAAGAAACCAAAAAAAACAAACAAAAAACTAAGAAAATGAACAAAAAAAAAAACAACAAAAACCAAAGAAAAATGGCCTCCCATAAAAACCAGGTCTCAAAACCAGAAGACAGGCTAAGGATTCTGGGAACACCGCCCCAGGCCAACTACAGGCCGCTCCCCTCTGCCTTGTGGGACAGCACCGGTTGGTCTGCAGGGCCTCTCGTGTGTTTCTGTGCAATGCTGCCATCTACAGATGCTTAGAAACTGCTAGGATTATAACCAAAGCTCACCCCAAGATGAAAGGGGACAATCTCCAGCAGTCACAAGCAAGTGAAAGTGGCTTCACATCCTCAATTCAGCTGAAGCGGAGTCTGCAGTGTTAAGCATGTACTGAAGGGACGCTGGGAATCACACCTTTTAAGAGGGCTAGCTCCTTCTAGAAGACACCCCAAACCCCACGTAGGCAAGAATTCAGGGATGCCACCAGAACAGGAAGGGCAGCTCCTGATCAGTCCCCTGCTAGCTCTGGCACTTCCTTCTCGGCCATGCCTGCGGCAGGCCTCCGCGGACATGCAGAACATGCAGTGAGCACTTCCGCCTCTCCCTGTGTTTTGTGCAGCACCTAGCGAGCCAGAGGCGGTTCAGGTTAGGTCCTGTGCAGCCAGGCCAAACAGCCCTTCCACAAGGGCCCCATGAGCTCCATTTACCTTCAATTGCACCGGAGGAAGAGAAGTCTGACGACATCTACACAACAGCCTCAACTGCCAAGCCTCTCTGCCACAGCCAGAGACGTGGGCCACTGTCACCTACGCCCCGGGGCAGGAATAGAGCACCAAGAAATAGTCCACATGACACTGAAGCACAGACAAGACAAAGTACAGTTTTTAAAAGGAAGATTTATTTGACAAGTTTCACTTAGCGCAATACACCTAAAAGGAAATCACAATACAATGAAAGATTTAAATCAAGGCCTCAGAATTTCATACAAACACCAAGACCAAAATCCTAAAGTATTGGTATTGCGTCTCAAATTTCCCCCCCTTAACTTAAAAAAAAAAAAAAAAAAAAAAAGCTTAAACTTACGTGCCTTAGGTTATTAAATGAAACTAGAATTAACAAACATGCCAAATGTTTTCACTTTTAATTGTAGACACAGCTCCTATATTGAGTTTTACAAAAAAAAGCATGTCTTTCAACATGCATCCAAACAGTGTTCAATGTAATGTGGTAGAAGAGCAACATTTAACATAATTCAACTGCTTTAACCTAAATACACTTACTGCTTAAGTACATCCTACAATATAACTAGAGAAAAGCTGAAAATTGTTTAACAGTTATAGTTTACTCAGTTGTTACATCCTAGAATGTTTGTGTTCAAAAATACTGAACCTTAAGTCTTTAAAACAATCCTGATTTCCACTTAGAGTAAGCATAAATCACAAGCTTGTATTGCAAAACTGTTAAACTTTTTTTTCTTTAAAAAATGTTGACCAAAAGTCAGTGATCAGGATCAATTACATTCCCCATCCACCACTCATACTGGACATGCTAGACATCCCTCCCATTCCGTTCACTCCCATAGATGCACGGCTTCCACTACTGTAGTAGCTGCTGTTCACTGCTCCTTGGCTGCCTGCAAAGAGATCAAGGTGACAAGTCAGGAGAATTATCAGGTTATCAGTCAAATAAAATATAGCATTCCAAGAAAAAGTTTAAAAAGTATACGAGTACAAATGGCTGCTGTCCAAGTGGCGAGAAGCATGTTTGGGAAAGGGGACTCCCGACTCCAAACAAGTCTCAATTAATCCCTTTTCTCTGCAGTACCAACTTGCCAGACTCTCGTGCTACCATTTAATTGGATGCTTCAGGATCAACATAGAAAATTAAGTTTAAAGGAAAACTAGTGTTTTTCAAAAATTGCAAAATTACTTCATGTCGTTTTTAAAGCTAAACAAGGCATTTTAAAAAAAAATTTTTACCATAAACATTCACAATGTGTCCATCGAATGGCATATATGAATAGGGAGGACAGGGGCAGTCTCTTGCTTTTCCTATTCATGGTGGGCAGGAAGTGAGACGACAAAAGTTGGACTAAAAGGCAACTCACTGTGCCCAAAATGGCAGCCTCCATGGAGTTAAGTCAGAGCCATTGACTGCTATAGAAATAGTGTTATTACAACATATCAGTATTTGCTATTGGGAATTTAAATTATATTTTTTGAGAAAATATTTACCTATGCAATGTTTGATTGAAAATCACTGGAGTTTTCCTGTAAAACTTGGTCTGCAAAAGGATTTTGTAGGGTAAGACTATAATACCAAAATCACCATTCTTTAGACCAATTGAAAAAAAAATCAAATAAAAGCAATCCTAGGATAAAACTGACTAGTAAATACGGTCCTGAACCCAACCACCAGTCTACTATATAAAATTCTCCCTCCATCTAAAATGGATTTAATGCTAACGAAAAGAAAAAAAAAAAATCAGTAATTTTTTAATAAATGGAGGCAGATGTTTTCTGGCTCGACATTATTCCAAGTTGCAATGACTAATTTATAGAACACTTCCCCCTCCCAAAGATTGGTTCTGAAAATTAAGCTATTAAAAGAACAAGTTACATTTGGATCAAAAGCATATTTATTAACCCCATTTTCACCAAAAAGGAGCCTGCATATTCCCCCAACTAAAGAAATCTGCCTAAAACTTATCTCCAGTATACAGAAAAACACACTTACCATATCCACTCATGCTGCTCTGGCCGCCATAGCCACCTCCATAACCACCACTCAGCTGCTGACTGGCTGGGCCGCCATAACTGGACTGGTTTGCTGTTAAGTTAAGAGAACATTAGAACCTTGTTCCATATGTAATGTGGTACCTGGTGGTACCGGGCTTGTAATTCTAAATCTATGATTTTCCAGTCTTGATCTCAATATTACTATAATCTTCTGCCTCCTTCTGCCTATTGCCTATGACCAAAACTACCTTTCTATCGTTATAATAACTAGTCATTTATAAACCGAAAGGCCAACAGTATGCACATCAGCAGGACTAAATCCACATGATTCCATAAAGTAGAGGCATTTTGAAAAGACCTTAGGATACTGCATAACTAGATTTAGTGGGGTTTGACCCCCATAATTTATAGTTAAGGTTATGTCAATACACAGGTTATCACTGAACACCTACTTATGCCCAACTAACCACGCCCAAAAATTTATTGATCCCGTGCTTTTTACTAAGTATTCATTTTAAACTTCTACTTCATAAAGACAATTCAACTAGTTTCTGCCATCCCCTCCCCCAAAAGTACTTAAAATTATCTACAGTTTTATGTAACTCACAAGGATTTTAAAAAGCCACACAATTCAAATCGAAAACTCTTTGCTTAACTGAATTATTGCTAAACTCATTAAAATATAAATTAACTTAACTTATATAATCGACTTATATAGATATGTTTTGGTTTTTAAAAAAACTAACGATATTTACACAAGCCCATGCCTCCCATCATTTGGCTACCATAAGCACCACCGCTTGC